TATATACACATGCAGACACACATATATATATATATATATATATATATATATATATATATAACACGCATACAAATGGGAAAATTGTACTGAAAGAGGCAAGAGCACGACAGGCGTGGAAACAGATGCAACACAGACAGCCGTCGAAACGCCTCTGCTGTATGCATCCTGTTTCTACAGCACTGGCTCCCCCAAGGGAACATTCCCACTCTGTACAGATCTGCAAAACATCTCAGCAGCCCGTATTCGATTACCCCAACGAAAGCTGAAGCCTGGGTGAGGCGAGGGTTGCTTCTAGTATTCAAACGAATCCCCCCCCGTCGCATGTATGTGTGTGTTTTTGTCCGGCTGCAGCATTCCCGGGACCTTCCCCCCCCCGTTTCTTCCATATCATTGGAATCTAAATATGTTTAGCAAACTACCTGCATTGGTTTCTACGCTTGCTGCCCACGCTTACGTAGAAGTGTTGATCGTAGACGTGGTGGCCCATGGCGTAGTCATTCTTAATGTAGAAACAGATCGGGTGAAAGTTTCGCTCCACCGCCTCCCGAAGTTTCAGAAGATTCGGGCAATCGGGGGCTGCGAATTTATGCGCTTTCCTGTTTTGTTGATTTCCGTTTGCAAAGAGGTTGAAGGGAGTGTTTGAGTTGCTGCTGAGGGCCGCTCCTGCAGCGGGATGCGTGCTCCAGAGATGCCGAACTGTGCAGCTTCGGGGGCTTAAACAATTAAAATAAAACGGAATTCTCTCGAAATGGAAACTGGAAAAAGCTGGACAAGATATTAACGATGTGCGTATACACCCCAGCGATGCCGGGGCGGCGCGGAAAGGTATGGTACCGACCATGGGTCTTTTCGTCTGCAAAAGAGTTATTGAGGAGTAAGTTTAATGTAAATTATTAATTTAACTCCAAATAAACAACTTGAAAAAGGAAACAATTCCTAGCATCCACACGTCGCGTTCTTCCAGTGCATGAAGAACTACCGGAGAGGGGCCCAAGCTACTATCGACCTTCGCCACAGTCTGTCTGCACTCTTTAGAGGCTCAACCGTCTCACCACACGTCCTATATATTATTTGTAGATAAAATATCGGTGATAGTAATTATTTCATGGTTAGCGATCAAGCAGTAAATGTCCAAGCAAATGCAAACAGAAGACGCAATGTTCCCGCCATAGAGTTGAACCACCTCGACGAGAGAGTCCTCAACTCCATACAGCAGTAACATTATATAAACCCTACGTTCCCGGCATTCTCCACAATATCCGTGACCACTAAGTTTTGCAAACTCCTCCTACCCAAGCCCTGCACTGCAGGAAACTCTACTCAGGGCAAAAGGGAACTCAATCTACCGAAACAACAACATCAAGTACTAAGCTAACAAAACCCAGGCTCCTGCCCTCAGCTGTTCTACTGTTCCCCTCAGCTGTTCTATTGGAGAGTAAACGCTACTGAAGTAGAGTTGAAGCTACTCTAGAGTTGAATCCTGNCCCTCAGCTGTTCTATTGGAGAGTAAACGCTACTGAAGTAGAGTTGAAGCTACTCTAGAGTTGAATCCTGTTGGCGTTTCTTTGTGCTATACTAAAGTTTCTTTAGGCAGAGTACAACGAAACCATAGATCGACTTTAAGACCGAAATTTCGCAGGTTGTTCAGGGTATTTGTTTGTTTCGTTTGTGCTTTGCGGCTTCTGTGTATTTGCTGCGTCTCCTGCGCCTCTTCCTCTCAAAAAGGTGTATTCACGCAACTGGGAGAGGTTGTGTCTACCTCAGCTGCATGAATACTCCTTTTAATTAGAAACAGAACAGTGTTCGTTTCCATCCGTATCCCCACTGTCTGCAGACTACTGACACCAAAATTATCTATATGTTTTGTTTGTTTGTATATTTATTTAACTCCACTTTACATCAGGCGTGATGCCGTCATCTTCTGACGAGGGATCATCTTTGCTGGGGCCGCGCGAGCGCCGGGAATGACAGAGGCCTTTGGCTTTTCCTTTTTCTCTTTCTTATCCTTTTCCTTAGCCGGCATCTTCCTCATCTGCAAACATAAAACCCAAAGCCAAACTTATCTATAAATATATGTTATATAGGGATACCGTATATATAAATATATATTATATAGGTTTACGAATGCATCTACGGATATAACACTATATATATATATATATATATATATATATATATATATATATATATATATATATACAAACACGTCCGCAGCAGGCCAACTGTCCACAAGGAACCGGACCCCTGATGAATGCAGTATAGCTCGAGATATGTCCTCACCTTTGAGGCGTCTGGCTTGGTTGCTCTTTTCTGTTTAATTTCTTCAAGAGAAATTCCCACAATTGCCTTCTGCACTTTGGCCCCCTTACGTGTTCTGCGTTTCGCCACGGACTCTCCTCTGCTCTTCTTGTTGGCTCGGCGCCAGACCTTCGATGCAACCCACAAGCAAGCTCTGCAACCCAAACCCTAGGAACTAAACCCTAAACCCGGTGTATGGAGAATACACTACAAGCAAGGTTTAGAAACATCAATGTTCAGCCCATCCCCTGTTGGCATTCCTTCGTTGAGGAAACAAACCATGCTGGGGCTGCAGCTGCTTCAGTGTACGCGAACCTTAGCACCGAGCCCTCACCAGAACATCAGGCGCGGTGACTCTGGCCGCAAAGAGAAACACCAAGCATAAAATATGAAACAAAACGCATTCTCCCCTAGCAACCCAGTTTCTTTGTTCGCTGAGAATGTTGCAACGCGAAGGCAACTCGCGAGGCCATACCAAGGTCCAGCGTAGTTTCGCTGCCTTTAGTTTCTGTCTGCCGAGACGGGCCTCCTTGGAGTGTATGTATGTGTGAACTTTTCCATCACGAGAGACGAACTTCTGCCCCCGACCCGGATAGATACGGTACTCGCTGAAGGAGCAGAGCTCCGTCTTGATGGTGGTCTGCACGGCAGCCATCCTCGAAGTCTGCAGCCAGTCATCGCGAGCAATCACAAAAAAAAAGATAATAGTATTCAATTCATATTTGAAACCAAGAAAAAGGCACGAATTATCAAAGAAAACCCAGTAACACGATGCATGCAGCAAACCACGAAGGATAACAGGCCAGGGCAAACTACTAACAGAAACAGTCACTACAATATGCATATAGATGCCCCATAGATTGAACTGAATATTTGTTCATCTTTTCAGAAATGAAACAATCAGCAAAGAGGAGAAGAGAACAAAACTAAAGGGAGCGGCTCAAGGCCCAACAGGTGACGCTGACGGACGTATCTGTGCTCTGGAAGGCACGCTGCACAAATTTGTGTTTAATTCGCATCAAGCATCAAACGAAGGAAAAGAAAAAGGCGAGAAATTCAACAAAAAACGCATGGCATCACAAAATATGGGGCAGGCAGCCAGGACGGCGGCGCACAGCAGAGAGAACGGCGAAGATGAAGGCCTGCAACTCGACTGTATTCACAAAACACTGCAGCCTTACCGCAATTTAATTATCTCCTCCAAAACAAAAGGACAGCGCCGACAAATTCTTGAGCTCCTATGGCTCCAGTGAAGACAGATAACGGCCAATGCAAGCAGTTGTGGCGCTTGCGGTAACACCCCACATGCCGCTTCCGGGGCTGGGGGGCTGCAGCGCGTTGCATGCTTGTATATAAACCAACCGTATTGTATTTTTGTGTATTTCTTCAATTTAAACATTTCTATGGCGGTTTGTTCGCAGTAACCGACCGTCCCAGCATACCTACAGTGCCACTAAAGGATCGCACTGCAAGTGTGTAAAGGATGCACCGACACCAGTTACAACGGGTGTGCTGTCTGCTGAAAGTCAAGTAAATGTTAAACATTTGGCAGTGGTATTACTACGTACATCGAAANGGGTGTGCTGTCTGCTGAAAGTCAAGTAAATGTTAAACATTTGGCAGTGGTATTACTACGTACATCGAAATGGGAACTGAATATGCGTCTATCTGTTTCTGCACTCGCGAGGGTGTTGCAGCAGTTTAGTGCTGCACCTGCAGGAAGCACGAGCTGACAGTTGAACATTTGCTTTTCTTATTAGTTCATTTGCTTTGAGTTTGATAGGCTATTCAGGACAGGGGCCTACCGCGACGGTCCCCTGTAACTCGGACTGCCCCGCAAGCGTGTTCGGTGCGGTGCACTGGAAGCCCAGTGGCTGGCCTTAACACGAGAGGCCGCATTTCCTCGAGATATCAGAAAACTCTGAATTCAAGTGCCTCCACTGCAGCCGTTCGTAGTATTTTAGCTGGATCATATATGGAGAAATAGGGTCGTCCGAATAACATCTCCAGTGCATACATGCACTTGCCCATCGTTCTCAGCAGAGTGTTGGCACTTCCGTTCGCCCCTCAGCTGCTCCCACCGCTTCCTGTGTCCCTGACTCGCATGCCGCCATTGCTTTTTCCTTCTTATTATTTCCAGGGAGTTGCTGGCATTCACTGCCTTCATATCCGTAAGGTCTACATGTGAACTATTCTTCATGCAAAAGTCTTCTTTCACAGATGGGGCAGTACAAACGACGTTTTTCCCTTTTTCGTGTACATATTCCATTCCGCCGTATCAACGGTTTCCACACTGCTTACGCTTTCGCCGATAAGGCATGCAGTGCTACCCAGTGTAACGCGAGTGCTNCAACGGTTTCCACACTGCTTACGCTTTCGCCGATAAGGCATGCAGTGCTACCCAGTGTAACGCGAGTGCTTGACCATAGCAGATGGTCGTCGTGAGCTTCAAAGAGCAAAAGTGCTTATACGAACAGTTCGCAGAAAGCATATAGCCTCCTCTACACTCCCCAGCCACCCTGGAGAAAAAAAGGGACGAGGGTCTGCGGATAGTGGGGCATGTGGGGCTGGTGCAGCCTGGCATGAGCTCGATTAGTCGTTGCTGCAACTCCTGTTGCTACTGTGGCTGCAGCTAGCACCTATAAGTGTCTACAGAAGTAAAGCATACGGTAAACGAAGCTTCACTGAAACTTCCTTGTGTTCATATGCGAATTTGGGTTGCATCGCCAGCTGCAACGAGGTACACTGTATACGCTCTCCGTTGCCTCCTCCCCCGCAACCCCAGACTTTGAGCTGAACGCTTATGATGCCTGTCGACAGGTGAGGGAGGTCAGCTGCTTTGAGGAAACTCTTATCTCAAGCCTTCAGCTTCACTGAATCTTCCTTTAGTCCTTAAACAGAGTCGGAAAGCATGCTTGACTTGTCGCAGCGACTCAGTCCGGCATGCAGGCGTAGCCAAGGCCCATTTGCTGCAGCTGCTGCAGGTCTTAACGCTGTATGCAATTGCCAGGCACATGCATGGTCACCAGTAGCCAGCATGCACGTACGTTGATGTAGACGAACCAACTTGAGTCAGAGCATGTTCCACAGGTCCACCTGCAACTACTATCCACGCAACGCGCCAGTGCACCATGAAAATTTTCTGTATCGCGTCCCTCCTCTGCCCGTAGAAAGCCTTTCGTATAGTTTTTAATGTGGTTTTTACAACGAAGGTCGACAGTGGAGCTGGCCTTTTATGGTGGCTTCTGGCTGGCGTAGCACTGCCGACAAGTAAGCAAAGCTTCTCGAAGCACTCGAGTGAATTCTTAACGCAAACATTGTTTAATACACGCACTATTGAGATTTACCAGTTTTGCTTATTATTGATAGCCAACAAGAAGCTTAACGGCTAGCAGTAGCGGCCCCTACGTAGAGACGTTTCAGGTACCCCAAACCAGATCGAAACGGGGTCGGGTGCTGGTGGTTGCTGGCTGTCTCGTCTGCAATTGAGTGTTATTGTTTCCTTCGTGTTTGCCATAAATTAGTGGTGTTTAACTAGCTGAAAATGGCTACAATNTTGAGTGTTATTGTTTCCTTCGTGTTTGCCATAAATTAGTGGTGTTTAACTAGCTGAAAATGGCTACAATAAACCCCTCCCTCCGGCTTGTGCATATCGTCTGCTTCAAATTCAAGCCCGACACCCCCGTCTCTACTCAGCACAGCATGGCTGCAGATGCCGAGGGGCTCGTCAAGTCAATAAACACGATCCCTTTTACCCTTTTCTTCCGCCCATCTTTTACTGAGGAAAGAACCAAGGGCTTCACCCATGTTCTACACTCCCAATTCAACAATAGGGCAGACCTCGAGACCTATGCCAAGCATCCGCTCCATCTCGAGTTTGTGGCGAAGTACAAACCCCATTTCGAAGATGTAATGGCATTCGACATTGAAATCTAGGCTAAGGTATACGCCAGCCTCGGCCTCACACTTGGCGCATTCCCCGTAGTGCAGGCGTTCAGCGGGACTAGCGGGCCATCTGGAGGCGCTCCAAAGGCCCCTTTACTTAGGGGCTCCGAAGAGGGGCCCACTGGATGGCAACCCGATGTGGCCACATAGTATAGATGCTGAAGGAGAGCTTGGGACCCGGCGCTGAAGTAGGATCTGTGCGGACAACATCTGCCGCAGTACCCGCCGCTGCAGTAATAATTGTGTTACAGCGTGCTGCTGCACTGAGTGCAGCAAAGCATCGCGGAGCATTACCAGGCACTCCCAAACGAGGCCTAGCCGCTCAAGACGCTCTCAGATATAGCCGATAAGCTCGCGTCGTGTGCGTTGTTACCCGTTGCTTTTGCTGCGAGGGATGCTGAAATGCTCAGTTTCAGCGTTGCAGGATTTATCATTTTTTCATCAGCATCGAGGTTCTGTTCAGCATTTCTAACGTGTGGCCGCAGTCGTGCCTTGTTGAAGGCGCTGTGCTTCTGAATATAACTGCTGGGGGCTGTCTATCTGCTCATCTGCTGCTTGTCTGCGGCGAAGTATGTTTGGAAGCAGTCCGCCTCAGCAGCCCCCTGCAACGACTACATAAACGCCGAACAACAAACATATTCCTGCAGTGTGATCCGCTTTAGCCGGTGGTATCTGGCTTGCCTTGGCGCTGCAGTGCCTCGGCTTGTGCCTGCTGCAGGGTATGGCTCGCGGGACCGTAATTTGGTCTTTAGCTACAGCTGCTCAGATTCTACCTTTTAGAGTCTTGGCATTTCAGTCACATCAGTTCAACTCTGTCTTTTTTCCCTTGTCCCTGCCAACGAGCAAGGAAAAAACGAGCGAACAAAGTGCTACATCTATGTTCGAAATGCGTTGAGCTGCACTACACGTGTAGGGGTAGTGCATCTACAGGGAGAGCGAGTCAAGGGCCCATACCTTCGGCACATGTTGGCCTTCGAGTGTACCCTCAAGGACCTCTAGAATGAGATGTTATGCTTGCAGGTATGTCCTCTTTGATGCTACGGATTTGTTCCGCCTTCACCTCTAGCTTTTGTTGTTTGGCTAGGGAAGGATGTTTAGTGTAAGCAGACAGCTGAAGGGACGCTTTTTATCGTCCTTCGAGTAGATGAGGTTTTTTTAGTGCCGGTTCTGCCAGTTCTCCACACNAAGGGACGCTTTTTATCGTCCTTCGAGTAGATGAGGTTTTTTTAGTGCCGGTTCTGCCAGTTCTCCACACAATTGTTGAACACCTTAAGGGGGATAGGAGTTCCCTCTGCAGCTGAAACGGGGCACCTATATAATTCTGGGGCACTCCACTAAATGCGAGTGTGTACATTTATATAATGCACTTCCATCTGAATGCTTTGGCGCCTACCTTCTTGCGAAGGAGTCAGAGCGCATAGAGGTGCGCTTACGGGTTTTGGCCGGATTGATCGCAGCCTGGAATGAATTTAGACACTGTTGGTGTTAAGTAATTCTTCCTAACCAAGTGTGCGTCCACGCCTCCACGGAACATTCAAAACCAGGCCTTCATGACCGTGTGCTGAGTTACTCGGAGCCGCACCATCGTTGTAGTGGCTGGAGCGAAATTACAACAGATGGCAAGGGAAGCAGTGTCCTTTTTAAGATTCGCAAGCATGGGAGGTGTAGAAGGCTTCGCAGCGTCGGCCACCACGCAGAGTCTTCAATTCCTAGACGTTTGAGAGGCGCATGGGGAGCTCTTGCACCTCGTATGCCTCCTTGTCGGAGGCCTTAAATATTGCCGGGATCGTTGAACTCCTTATACACTGCAACTGAAACTCGCAAAGATATCTGCGGCCTTCGTGCTTGAGCACGAAGTGATGTTTGAGTGGGTCTGATGTAGCTTAAGAGCTGCATGTGACAGTGTGACACAATTCTGGAACTATGCAGGTCCATAGGAGGGAGCCCTTGAACTGCGAATGCCAGATATATTTCTCACAACTTTACGAGATTTCTACGGGAACACGGGGGACGCTGCTGCGGGTGTAGGACCCCCGGATCTTGCAATCTGGTATTGTATTCAGGGCACGAAGTTGGGCTACAGCCAATGAAGTATAGCATGAACGACTAAAGAAGAAGAGATTCTTCGGCTGGTCTCGGCAGATGGACCGTTTAGGATCCACATAAAAAATGCCGACCTGNAGAAGAAGAGATTCTTCGGCTGGTCTCGGCAGATGGACCGTTTAGGATCCACATAAAAAATGCCGACCTGAAAGAATCGTCTACGCTGCTAGACACACTGCGGGACAACGGTGGCCTCACCGCATTTCTTGGGCATCCACTATGCCGGGCAACTCAATCGTATGACTAAAATATATTCCAAGAATAAACGACTTGCTGGCGAAAAAAAGTGTCGCCGCTCCGTAGCTTGATACTAAAGGAGTGTGCATCCTACTTGTTTGTATTCCTCAACCATTTGTTCTGGCCACACAGAACATTGGACCTCGCCAATATGCAATTTTCTTAAGAGCAGCATTGCAACTCTTGACTGGCCGATACCTCCACCAATACAAGCAGGCAAGGATCCGTTTACGAGTTGTTGGTGAAACGGAGATTCCAAAGCGTCCTTAGATATGCCCGCGATTTTCGCTTGACGGAGCAATGCCTCCGCATCAACACGAATTCCCATACTACTGAGTTCCAGTGCATTTCCACTCGTTGGGTCAAGCACTATAATATCTCCGTTCAGTCCTTGCATCCCATCTGCACCCATCGTTGTGTAGTCATCGTAGTCCCACGCCCGGACGTCGTGCACTGTTCCGTCCGCAAGCGCACCGCCAACACCTCTGATGAAAACTGCCCCGTGTTCTTCGACAGCTTTCTGTTCGCGGAGAGCGGGNTGAGAGAGCTTTGGGAAACGCTCACACAGCAGTTTCTCTACCTCCAAAAGAGCTTCGTAGATCTTCTTAACGGTGGATTCAAGATATTCCACGTTTCGATCTTCTGTGTTTATCTTCTGCTCCCAGTCCCACTGGTCGACAAGGAGGGAGTGCGTTGCGTCGAGGTTTTCGTCTTTTCTTATCGCAACCATGTCTGTTATGACTCCCTCGTGAGCTGGAAAGCCGTATGTATCAAGTGCTTTGCGCTTCCACTTGGCTAAGCTGTGTACGACTTGAACAGGCCGACCGGGCAAAGCCGGAGCACTGAAACCGACCGGTTGCATTACACCGTCAAGTCCATCCTGCAGGCCAGAGTCCTTCGCGACAAATCGAGGAGCAACAACGGGAAGAAGACCTAACTTCTTGGAAAGCAGTTTCGTAAACTCGCACTTCAGAAGCTGTACAGCCAGCTCTGTTTCACGCAGCGTTAGCACAGGGTTGTAACGCCGAGGCAAGGAATGCCCGGAAGACAGTGAAGGGTGATCCATAGCCAACGAAGCAGCCAAAGAACTGTAGAGATTCCCCCAAGTAAATTTTTACTGCAGTCTCCTATTTAATTAAAATAACGAAACGTGCAATAAATGGGGACTGCTCGGATGTCTTTGTGGGGCTTTACAACAGCGTGGTTCCCAACCGTGACGTGCTTCCGTGCACGCGGCGAACAAGTGTAATGCCCTGGAGTTCCCAGGGCAGGCTCAGCAACACTGAAATCACTGACNGTGCACGCGGCGAACAAGTGTAATGCCCTGGAGTTCCCAGGGCAGGCTCAGCAACACTGAAATCACTGACAATATAGACGAACCCAATAAATTTACCAACGATATTAATAACGTGGCCCGTAGATATGGAACGAGACGGCGAGCGGCAGCGGAGTCCCAGTGATCAGAGAGGTAGCGCACCCGTGGTCACACTCCTAGTATGGTGAAGGGAAGACAAACCGCAAGGTTCACAGGCAGAACACGTATTACGCATAAAGAGACATCGTACTAGGAAAGACTGATGCAGAATGTTCATAGGAAACCAACGAGAACAGTGTTCTGGGCTGCGAACCGCAGGATCCGAAGGTCCCTTCGGAGGGAGACTCCCTGGAGGCAGTCCCCTCGTCCAGCCTGCAGCTTCGGCGGTACAGTGTCTGCAACCCTCCTGGGAGGTATAGCCTACCGGTGCTGGCGGGAGCTGAGGGGGAATTCACTCTGACGGACCATGGTCTCGTGACAAAAATATAGTACGAGACTCAATGCTTAGCTAACTGTCCACTAATTGGGCTCCTCCATCTAAAGCAGCTCCAAGAACGAATGCATGGTAGTGGTCACGCACTACAATATTCCGCTGTGATAGCGGGTGCCATACGCATTAGCGTAACGTGGGGCACCTGGGGCGTGTTGGACGCGGAGGAAAAATAGAGCGCTCCGGCGCCGCGGGAGGTGACCCCCCGGAAACTGAACGAACCTGCCTGGCTGCTCGCGGTTGGCACAGTCACCAAGCTCTACGAAGAGCGCGACAGTTTCGTTGGTGGCCTGCCCGGCTCACATGTAGCGCGCTCTTCTGAAGCCCCACGCCACTTGCAACGATACTGAGCCGCGGCGCCTTCACCGTGTTGAGCCACAGTAAAGTCTACCTCGCATGAATTTGCCAAATTACCGTGGATATCCCTCATCGGAAGCGAGCAACCGCCGCTTTCGGTCCGCTGGATGATCATGTATACGCTACGCGAAATGGAAAACATCGTGGCACTCAATAGTGGGGAGGCAAACGATACCTTACCGAAACGATCATTGATTGTGAGCGGACCCCGGAGGCGTGGCTTGAACTTGGAACACGAATTATTAGGCGGCATATTGCAACTGAAAGGCCTGTGTGACATTCGCTAGAGTTTCCTGCCAAACTCTCACCACCTGCAACTTACCCGGAGCAGCTTGAGTTTCATTGGCACTGATGGTATACCCGGGGTACGTGGGTTCCGTCTGGGCAAAGCGGCATTTCCGAGACCTCCAGCAGGATTCTGTCTGTGCAAACATGCCTAAGACCTTACGAAGCAGGTCCAAGCGGGAACGGAGGTCAGGGTTGTAGATAAGCACAGCAGGCGAGCGACAAACCGTCGGCCTAGACACGGCTGCAACCAGGCATTTAGGCATTGATACTGGCCTGGAATTTTGTTTAAGGCCTAACAACATCACTATGTACTCGAAGAGGCCCAAGATGGAGCAGAAGGCGGTCTTTTAGCGATCCTCGGGAGCCGTGCGGTGCTGGGAATGCAGAACGGGTAGGAGCGGGTGTCAAGGTACTCACAGACAGACCACCACATGGAGACGAATGAGGCGTACGATCTGCGCTAAGTATTGCAGGGGGAAGGGAAGTGATACGATTTGAATGCCACGAGAGGGTCATTAGCATACGCCGCATTCGCATGCGACTGACGTGAGAACTCTTTAATGGGGACACGAAGCTTATTGCAGCGTCCCCATTTTGGACGCTTGGGTATAGGCCCGCACAAGAGTCTGGTAAGCCATTTCAGCCGGAGAAGGGAGTTTGCCATCCAGGGCATAACAATCGAATGCAGAGTCCCCTCCAGAATCCCAAGCAGACAGCACATAGGTCAAGAGACAGTAATTCGTTAGATTCGATTCATTCCCGCTCAGCTCCGGGCAGCACCGGCAGGTCATACCTGTCAGGACAATGCAGGCGCTATACCACCGCAGTCGCGGGCTGGATCTGCGGACTGATTCCAGGGAGCATCCGAAAGGAGCTTCGGGTCGTGTGGCCCATAGCTCCCCAGAGCATTGTTCTCATTGGTTCTGTATGAACATTGAACATCAATCCTTCCTAGTACGATTTCTCTGTATACATATATACGCGTCCCGCCAGTGAACCCTTCGGTTTGGCTTCTTTCTGCCTTAATATTATCAAGAGTGCCACAANTATACGCGTCCCGCCAGTGAACCCTTCGGTTTGGCTTCTTTCTGCCTTAATATTATCAAGAGTGCCACAACGGGTTCGTCATCACCCTGATCACTGGGATTCTAGTACAACTTACTGGCCTAATCCCTATCTAAAGGCTGCAATATTAGTGTCGTCGTCAAGAATCTAAGGTGTATCTAGACGTACTAGTAATTTCAGTGCTTCTGGGCCTGCTATGCTGAGCCCCAGGGCCCGTACAATGGAAAAGTAGCAACAAACATAGTTATGATTCGTCGGGGCTTTCGCTCCCGGCGTGAACCCGTAGGGACTCACGGGGTTGGTCCCCGGATGAAACCACTGCAGTCGGCAGCGCCTGTCTAGCCTGTAGAGCGCTCTCTATATGTGCTGCGTAGCTGAAACACTAACGGAATGTTGTCATCCAGCGCACATATGACTATTAATTAAAAAAACACAATACAAACTAATACACAGCTTCACACCTCTAACGAAACCGTAGGAACTGATACAGGGCCGCACTACACTAGCGCTCTACCCGCCATTCAGCTGCTGGATCGACGCATGCAGCCATTGGACAACAATCTACAGCATATGCTTCTGGAACAGCTGCTCGTTCTCCTTAATATATTGTGAACGGGATTGTTTAACTACAGAGAAACCAGAAGGCTGTGCAGGCGTCCCCTGGAGCCTCCAGTACCTGCGAACATGGACGAGCGAGGGCGCAGGCATCTACTGGCAAGTTCCTAGGAGTTCCGGCAACGACGGCGATTCATTCAGGATTAGTATAAATGACTGGATGTGAGCTATTATTGTGGAGCTGCTGTGTCGATATGATCCGAAAGTTATTAGACACTCGATTCGAGTCAGCAATGCCTGGAGCAGCGGCTCGTGTACGAAGTGCCTACACAGTAGCTAGATCTGCGTGGACTGCAGGCGCCGATATGGCCCCAAGCTATATATATAACTGGGTCCGTAGTACTACGTAAAACATGTCTTTAAAGCTGCCATAGCACATCACTCACGGGTTGGGATTGCCGGCTGGTTTCGCCGCAGGTCATCCGGTACATCTCCCCACACTTGAGGTCGTGTACGCCTTCAATAACGTCTCCGTTGTTATCCTTTGACGTTCCTTGCGGGATTCTGGGCCTACTGTAGTGCGTAGCACTACAACGGCTGCTGCCGTCAGGAGGTGAAAATGCAGCAGCTGAGGCGCCTGAACTTCTTCGACCGCAGCATCGTCGAAAGGACCCGTCATCACCCGTTAATCAGCAACGGCTGCTTTGGCGGCGCCGGAGGCACTACAGCAGCGGAATGGCCATCAAGCCAGACACAGCAGCATGGGGCTGCAGCAGGTACTCAAGATTGCAACGACCGAGAAAACTGACCAAAATGCGCCNTAGCTCTGGAGTCATTTGCTTCTGTGTCAGGGCCTTCCCGCATGTCTCCGCTTCCTTGTTCCGTTATTGTGTGTACGGTGGGAACTGAGTCGGGACTGTGGATGGGAGACGATGCAGGCGTCTTGCACACGTTAGACCAGGACTTTCAGCTGAAGTCTCTGAAGAGCTTCGACATTTGCTTTGTTGCAATGCATGCCGCCGTGTCGGCGAGCTCCATTGTATGTATTGGGTAAGGAAAATAATTCAGTCCGTCTGGATGTCTCATTTTTGTTCCTTTCGGCAACAGCTGTCTTTACCAGCCTCTACAACAGTTTGTGCTGACTCATGCACAGGCGAGATGCCCCTGCCGAAAAACCAGGCAATGTGGGTGCTGCAGTGGATAGCTCCGGACAAAACGACGACTCGCGTATTCGTCAAGGGATCCTGAAGTACAAATGCTACAGCACAACTCAACTGGACGCCAAGGGGAATCCTGTCCTTCTCCGGGAAGCAGGGCTTTTTTCCAAAATTCCAGAACAAGTTTTCGTGTGCTCTGACATCAATTCGAACTTCACTATGTTGGCCGTAAGTTAGGAAGCACGCGACCTTCAGGTTGCCTCTATGCCCAATCAAGACGCGA